TACACATCCTCTAAAGGATCAGGCTTGCAGCCTGGGGTTACTCTTATTCCCAGCCCTCTTTATAGAGCTGCAAATATCAGTTGTGGCCAAGAGTGTCTTTTATCAACTTTGGTTGATTGTCCAGCTGTACCCCTACTGGAATAAGAAACCCTAACAACAGCGATTTCATGCATTGGTAATTAGACATGGGATATTCATATTTGCATTCCTCGGGATACGAATACAAATATTGGCACCACAGATGCCATGTAAATCCAGTCCCTTCCCCTTGAACCAGCTGGTCCATTCACAGGTTGCTGCACAGCACACACGGCGGTCATACTTGTCATCACATCCAGCCGGCTCTTCACTGCCTTCCCATACAGTCGACCACTCAACAGCTGAGCAAAGAGACTCCCCATCCCTCCTTGCATGGGGAAGTGGGGAAGAGCCGGCTGAGCTGCTTCTGCGATTAGTGCAACAACGAGAACAATGGCTGCATGCAATGCATGGCAAACAGTGATTGGACTAGCTGGTTCATAGAGGAGGGACTGGATTTCCATGGCACCTGTTGTGCTGATTTTCATATTCGTATGCCCAGGGATACAAATACAAATACCCCATGTCTATTGGTAATTTCTACAGTAGATAATATTCTCTATGTAGGGCTGCCCTTGTATGGCCACTTCAGAATGGCGTCTTCAGCAGATTCAAAATGTAGATGCCAGACTGATTACAGATATGAACACATATTTCCATTTTTGGCATGCCTTCATTGACTCCTAGCTTCCAAACTCAATATAGGGTGCTGGTCTATACAACTCTTAACAATTTAGGTCTTCAGTCTTTGGCAGAAGATCTCTCACCTTTCCACCCTTGATGTTAAGAATTATGACACCCAAGAAGCCAACATTAGGAGCCAAGCATTCTTGGTTGTGACACCTTCCTTCTGGGATAAGCTTCCTACAGAAGTTTGCTAGGTGCCATCCCCTTTCAGTCTTCAAGACAGAAATTGTATAAAGACAGAATTGTATAAAGCTGTGTGGCAATCACCCTGCTTTGACTCATGTACAAAGTTATTTGCATATACCAATGGGAGCTGGTGGGAGGCGGAGCCAGAGAAACTAGAAGGGAGGGGCGAGTCTGAGTTTAGTGAGTTCAGTCAATGACAGTCAGAGATGAGAGTCTGAAGTAGAAGTTAGTCTATGGTAGTTAGAGCAGATGGCAGAGTTAGGAGTTAAGAGTGTGGAACACCAGGCAATGAAAATCGAAATCTGAATTTCAAATGGATGAATGATATAGTGAAATATGGAATATAGCTCTAAATGACAAATTAACTTGTAATTTAAAGGTTAAGAAAGGAGAGTTGAAAAAGAATAGTTTTTATGAAATATGGGGCAGATTTTTGGAATATGTATTAACAAGAGGAAAGGGGAAAGCTCCAAATCAAGAATCAATGCAGTTCTGGAGAAGAGAACAATAAAAGAAGAGGAAGAATATAAATGGAGGAAGAAGATTATAACAACGGTGGTGGGGAACACAGTTATATTGTATTTTCATTTGTGTATTTTATGCTTATGTTTATGTTTTAGATAAATAAAAACTAAAAAAGAGTGTGGAACTTATAAAGAGCTAAGAGAATTAAGAGTGAAACAAGTTATTAATAATTTAATGAATACATTAAAGTTTGTGAAGAACCTGTTTAAGCAAACTGTAATCAATAAACCTGTGTTGTTCAACTTTATACTCAGCTGGTATCTCAACTTTTCTAATTAAAGGGTGTTGACAGAGGTCAACTGGTGGCAGCAGAAAGGAGAGAACATGTTGTGGGCCTCCGGCTAGTGAAACAACCTGGGGACACATGAGGGGCACGTCACAATTGGTGGCAATGGTGGGATACATAGCGTGAGTTCTTTGTATAGTGAAACAAGCAGGGGCCACGTGGTGAAATATCACAAGCTGTTTTTCACTGTTAAATATTGACCTGAGATGCTCAAATGTATTTTAATTTGAGCATCTGAAATTTAATGCTAGGTACAGTTTTTTTACCTAGCAACATAGTTTATTATACTGGTTTTTTTTCCCTATTTATTACAGTGTGTTTTTATTCAGTGATTTATTATATCTTGTGAACTGCCTAGAGAGTGATAACACTAATGGTGTGATATAAAAGTGGAAATAATTATTAATATTTCTAGATAATACTAGACATCATGTTTTTTAAATTGAATGGTTCATTTATTTTTTACAGTCTAGTGGCTCTTGTTTATTTCCACACATGTCTTAGTTAGATCTCATTGTTTTCTACAGGATTTTACCCCTTATCTATTTCCCAAATAAACACAGTTTGATAAAAAAGATTAGATTATCACAAACATCTGAAAAACAAGATTTTGCAGTGGGTGCTGAGACTATTATGTGTGAGCAGTTCACCACATGCCACTGGTAAGCATGAGAAAGGGAAGGGGGTACCTCATCCAGAAATCCTACTTATTAATTATTTTAATGTACATAGGTAGATGCCTTGTGTTGTAATTTTGCACAAGATTTCCATGGAATATGCTAACATACTAATACAGAACTTTGCTTTCTGAACATGGTCGCCATTAATAATCTCTTAGTTGAGGACTTCCGGCTTGACGTCGCGACGAGATGGCAGCCGGCTGAGAGAAGCAAGGAACAGCACCTGGCATCGCTGTTTTTCCATCGGGTGAGAATCGTTTTACAACTAATTGCCTACGTACCCCTACATATGGAAAAAAAGAATTGCTATCTTATCTCAGTAACTTTTTAAAGCGGCAGAAAATCTGGTGAGAGGGATAGCTGAAGAAAGTAACTTTTTAAAATTATACTTTAAGGATGTTTATAACCTGCCGTTATAAGCTTAAGAGACCTTCCTGCAAATTAAGTGCGGACATTGTTTTGACTATCCAGAGCATTTGGAATGATTCCCAGAAGATGTGACCTTGAATATACTGTTGTTGCTTAAGTCTGAAAAACAGTTTATTTCCTTGTGAGCTTCTGGCTGGAATTAACCCTAAAGTGGACTTTTCAAAAACTGTTCCTTGGGTCGAATTTGGTTCAACTTTACATAGCCAAAGCGGAACTCTTGAAATGACTCTGGAAATTTGGAATATCTGTTTATAAGCATCTAGGCAGCAGAAACAGAATGGCACAACAAGGACAATTTTGGAATGAA